GACACGTCCAACTTCACCACTCCTGTAAATTTTGGCAATGGATCACCTATTGCTGCATATACATATTTGTTCTTTTTTCCTACGAAAGCAGGATTTATGACTCCAAACTCGAGATTTCTTGTTGAAATTGGGTCCCTTTTTACTAATCCCGTCTTAAGATTGATTGTTACTTTCTCCACCATGGCATGAATAAGGTCCACTCTCTCCAGGACATGCTCAATGAATAATATATTTGGTGCTATCATGACCACTGTGTTACCCTCGTCCTCCTCCCAGGCATTGATGACATGCATAAAGTTGAATCCTGGCACATCAAACCATTTCATCTCGGACTCGTCTTTTGCATAACGAGGGATGAAGCCCAGTCTCGGGACCTTGGTCGGATCATAACCCATCAAAGCACCTTTCCTGAAAATCATCTTCATGGGGTTCATTCCAATTTGTATGTCGGTGAATATGGCATAATTCTTAGTGAGGGCGAAATCGTGGAGGAATGATGGACGTGTCATTGAGAAAATGGGCACATCTGGATGCTTATTTCCGTTTGCATCGAAGTAAAAGTAGGTTAGAAATGGAGACACAGGACCATACCGGAAAGCAAAGGTCTCACTGGTTTCGGGGTCGATCTTGGGGTGAGCAGTCAAGCTCCCCAAGAGCTTTCCGTTGAAATCATGGCGACCTAAGGTCTCTATATCTCCATTAGATGTCAAGCGCACAGAGTAAGGCAGATCAGACTCACCAAGTGCATAGAGACGGTTGCCAAAGAAGGCCAAACTAGTATTTGCAAGACCGAAGCCATTTGCAGGATTGTATTGGCCGGCTAAGATTCTAGCAACAGACAAGGTAACACGAGCTGTAGAGGCAATAAGACCATTGAAGCCAGAGAAGACATTGGGAAAAATAGGAGCACCAGCATCACGTTCGGTGGTGTACTTGTAAGTCTTCACATAGCGGCTGCAGAGAGTGGCTCGACCTTCTGAAATTCTAATGGAATGAAGCATACCGTCACCATCAAAGAGATGGAAAGGTCCACGGGGAAAGTACTGTGGATTCGGGCCGTTTCTTATGTACGCACCTTCCAGGCACAGTGGGAGGGATCCCTCCACCACCTTACACTCAGTTGGAGGAAGCTCATCCACTGGAGCAAAGTTATGAGAGAGAACACGTCTGGGATCAACTGAGGTGCGGATGGGAGCGTCTATGAATCTGTTGATAAAGTCATCAAATGCACCAAAAATCATCGTCCACATTGTGGGTTCTACCCTTGTCTTTGCTGGGGCAGCAAACTTTCTGTGCTGAGGAGAGGAATTTGGGACATTGGGAGTTTTTTTGGTAGTTGTGGTAACGTTTTGAGGCTTTTCTTTAGTTCCATGAGAGGAAGCGTTCAGGACAGGAACATAAGACTGTGTACGGGTGGCAGGAGAGAGGAGTTTGGATGACGGTAATGAAGGGAGAAAGGAGGAGGAGGAGAAGGCATACATGTTAATGGAATTTTGGCTGAAAATGGGAGAAGGGAAAGCAGAAAGAATATTATCAGAAATGTGGTGGAGAGAGAGAGAAAGCAATGCTACTTCTGCTAGAGACGAAGTCTACTTCCCCTCCTTTGGTTGCTTAATGCTTATGTTTTCTGGATTTAACGTGTGTTATGTACGTATTTCTTTCCCCTTTTGTATTTGGCATTAATCTTGTGTGGCT